ATCTGAACTAGGTTTTTGGCCCAGCTTTGCCAGTGGTGCAGAGGAACCAGCTCTCCCCACTGTGCAGCCAGCATGGAGAAATGGAGCCGTACCTGCAAGCAGGGTGATATTGTTCATCATCATCATCAGGTTTGCATTGCTGCTTTTAATTATGGTGATTTCCTCTTCTAAGCTTCTCTTCCAGTTTTCTTCATGCCCCATGTGCTGCTCTATAGAGTTTTTCTCCAAAAGCAGTTTGCTGGCAAAGGAGCTTTCCAGAATCTCTTCTGTATAGGAGGTATTTTGTTCTTGAAATTTCGATATCTCTTTCTGCATCTTAAACACTGAGGAAACAAAAGGCCCATGTGGTGAGTGTTCCCTGCCTGATCCAGCTAGGAAATGCCTGTACAGCAGAGCAGCTCCTCGGCACCCATGGAGGACACCCAGGGTTAAACACCACCACTGTTTGACCCAGGGAGGTGGTTTTCATATACCGGCCCTTGCTGCAGCCAGGAGTGCAGCCAGGAGTGCTTTTGCAAATGCAGAGAACATACATGGGGTGGGGGAATGGTTTCCTTCAGCAGCTGCTTTGACTTGGCAGCGTGCGGAGCCGCGTCTGTGCTCCCTCAGAGGTTTCCTATCTGCGTGCTCATCCCCGCTCACCCGTGTCCCCCAGAGACTCCAGGAAAGCTGCCTTTTGATGTCAAGCCCGCGGTAAGGTTGCAGCGTTACCTTTGTACATCAGCAGCCCCTGGCCGATCGTCAGCAGCAGCAGGTAGATGCTGAGGGCAGCCCAAACACAGCATGTGGATGGCTTTTTTTGGCTTCGAGGCTCTAAAAACCAACAGAAGTAGGGTAGACATCCTCTCACATCTCTCCTGCCACAAATTCTGCTTGCTTCCAGCCATTTCAGGCTTGGCCACAATAAATGAGCAGCGCTTTCCAGCGACGGGGAGCAGCAAGGTCCCTCTGCGAGACTGCCAGGTCCCGCAGGCAAGGCAGGCTGCCTTCCTCTCACCCGGGCTTTGCACTGCAGTTCACTTGGCTGTCTTTTCCTCAGCCAGTTTAACCAGCTCACTTCCACCAAGACTTAATCCAGCCTGTAACAGTATGAATGCGGTAGCTCGCCCCTTTCTGCATCAGTAAACTCCCTGTTGCCATCGCTTTTAGTTGTCCCAGGCTGGCAGTCAAAGAGGGCTGCACATGCCCTCTCCATCCAGAGCGGTGCATACATGCGATTCCAACAGTGATGCATGTACACATCATCGAAACAAATGAAAAATCAATAATAAACTGAACTGCAGAACAAATGAAAACAAGTCGTAACATTTAAAACAAATTGTCACCAGCAAGTGGAAAAGAAATAAACTGCTCTGTCAAATTTGGGCCTTTAGGGAGAAAAAAAGTATTTCAGAAGCATTAATAACTATTTCAGGCATTCAGTAAGTTACTCTTAATTGATTTTTTTTTCAAAGCAATGTAATCAGGAGTTTAAAGTCTTAAGTTTTAAAAGAGAACAATGATTTAATTAGTTTTACAATAGAATGGTTTAGTCAGCAATGAAGTATTTATATTCAGCTAAAAATTCATAAACTTACATTTTTTATTGGATCTGGCGATTTCAGTATCTTAACTATTAAGACATGAAAGTTTTACTCAGTGAAATTAGGCATTTTCTAAAACAGGAAAAGAACTAATTTTTTCTGATGCTCAGCATCAGCTTTTGGGTAGAAAGGACACTTTCTCATACTTATCTTTTTAAATGGTCAGTTGATTTAGTAACAAAATCACTGTAAAAAGCATTTAATATGCAGTATAAATATAATATTTCATTTTTATGTGCTGCTTTCTTCCTAGACCAGATAAAATCCATATCAATCCATTTAATAAAAAGAAACCTTACCACTTATCTGAAAGGTTGTGGTAGCAGCTGAGGCAAACCCAATCTTGTCTGAAATACTGAAAGTGTTCATATCACTCAAATTTCCATCTTCCCCCTGTTTGTCGTTAATTTTCATGACAAATTTCTTGTGGCTAACCTAAAGCCTTGTCAGATTATGGACAATAAAGAACTGAAGGGACTTCCTATCTGCCTCCTGATTTGATATGCTTTCTGATACGCTTTTCCTGTCTGGTCAGTTTTTATAGACTTGTGAGAACTCTGATGTGGTAATTTGAACAGTTCCTCAAAAAATCCCACAGCTCAGAGGTTCAGCTGTTCTTGTGCACTCACTTGCGGACACTGTGTCCACAGAGCCTAGGGCAGGGTCGTGCAAGAGGTTCAACCCTGAGTTATTCAACATTCCTGAACTTTAGCAGAGCTGGGCATGAGGTGGCCGTTTTGCTCTTAAGACAAGTAAACCTCCTCGAGCAGCCAAGAAGATCCCAGGTTCAATGTTAGCTTGGAGATCCATCCCCTGGGAGAGAAAGTGAAGCATGGCGTGGTTGTGAAAACCACATTAGCTTGCACCAAGGTGACAACTTAGTGATGGCACATGACTGAAGTGCAAGGAGGGAAAGAATCAGGAGGATTTGTGAAGACAAGCGAATGATGACGGGATGGGGGATGCTGAAGCCCAAATGGGTTTGGCATGCAATAGTCTGTAATTGCAGCCTCCTTCCCAAGGCTCTCTCCAGCCCCTGCTTCCTCCCTGACCCATCTTCCACACCCACGGACACAATTCCTACCACCTCACCACTTCTTTGCTCTCATCCTGTAAAACTCACCCCTGCAGACCTCACCCTGGCATTTGGCGCTTTGGCATGTCTGTTTGTGCTGGGGTTGATTTTGATTTTGCAAAGTGAAGCGACTCACCCAAGCCCACAGGCAAGAGCCGTTGGTAGGTGCCGGGCAGAGCCCTCTGCATCCACGCTGCTGCCGCCACGTGATGCCCATTCTGAGGCTCAGGGAAGTCCCCATCACACGGTCCTCTCCTGGGCTGCAGGTCCGTGCTCATCTGTGGGGTTGCTGAGTCCTCACCACTTTGCGTGGCCATGGGAAAAAAGTGTGGCGTAAGCTTCAGGTAGACATGAGGCTGGAAATCCACACCCTGACAGCCCAGTGCGCAATGAAGCCCTCCATTCTGCACCAGACAGACAGATCTCTTAAAGGCTCAAACTAAAAATATGTGGGGATTTTTAAATCCACTTCTGCGTTCTCTTTTCAAACATGCTTGTGCAGCTGTGACCTGGTTTGGCACCAGCAGGGAGGAAGAGGAGTCCTCCTGTATCATACATTCTGCTACACACTGCACAGGAAGTGGGATAATTTTCTTCGCTGCGAAAGGCTCAGATATCCCCTTGAATTAGGGGGGCTCGAGAGGTTACCACTAATCAGCTGAGCCATAGTACCTACCTGTGCACTCTCTCCCTTCATGGCATCGCCTCCCCACTGGGGTAAGGGCTCGTATCCAGCCCACTTCTAATGGTTTGGATGGTTCAGCTGACCACTCTGAGCAAGCCTGAAGCCATCTACTCTTGCTGGGACAGATGATGAGCTGGGCTTGTATTGCCAAGTGAATGTTTATAGGGATGGATGTGATTCGGATGCATGCAGAGAGCAGATTTACAGTAGAAAGACTTCTAACAACACTTCTAGGCAAATCCATTTTACTTCAAAAGTATTAAAAAGAAGCTGGCAGCTGTAGTTTTCAAAAGCCCTCCTAAAAAGCACAAGGTGCAATGAGATCTTTGTGCCCTCCTTTCCTGAGAAAGAAGTTCAGGAGTATGTTTTCCCACTTGTCATGGTCGTGCTGTGGCCATGCCATTCTCAATGGCCCAGGTGGCACCGGTGCAAAAGGAGGAGTAGAGACCCTCAGTTTTGTCAGTCCCGATCTGCATTGCTCTAGGGTTCAAAGTCCAATTCTCCACTTAGCTGTTTTGGGAAGGTCAATAGCAAAGTCATGATCCCGCCCAACTTTGCCCACCAGCTGCAGTTGCCTACCCAGCTCGTCAAACTTAATTCTCCCCTTATTTCCAGCTGGTGCAGCCCTATGGAGCTCTGTGTGCTGCCACATTCCCATCAGTCAGGTGAGCATCTGGCTGCCTGGGAGCGTCATGATGGGTCTCCATCTGGATGTCAACCTCTGCAAACAAGCGGCAGATTTCTCTGTGTACGTGGCGCCAGAGGTCTCGGCCACGCCACGGACGTCGGAGACCACGTACCGACATGCTTGCTCAGCATTTGCGTGCACTCGCTGCCGCCATCCTCACCCTGCTTTCTGCTGTCTTTCATTTTTCACTGCACCATCACTGACTGCAGCAATAGATTGACTCCGATTGTGCAATCGGGGTTACTGAATCGGGAAGGAAAAAAAAAAAAAAAGAAACTGCTGATTCAGTTCAGTCTCCTTACATTGAGGGTTTGCTGAAATAATGGCATTATTAATAGCATAATATGAATAGAATAGCAGTTTCCAGTACATTATGGGGCACATCTGCTGGGCCATCAGCTTCACCCTCCAGGCTGTCTGCTAGGAAGCCCTGGCTCCTCTCCCTGCTCTTCCTGCCTCCCCTGAAATGCTCTGCCAGCATCTCCAGGAAGAGCCCAAAATCTTTTAGCTCATCCCAGCCCTTTCCTTCCTTGTGCTGGGCAGAAGGTCCTCCTCATGCTCTCATTTCACCCTGATACCTTTCTCATCTTTCACCACTGTTGTCAGCAACAGGCATTTGCCACCACCAAAAGCTCATGGCAGAGTGAAGAGACATAATGCCAAACTCCAACCTGGCATTAGCTAAACACAGTGCTTCCCAGCAGTGATACTGCCAGAAAGCATGGGAAGATGTTAGCTTCCTCAGGACAAGCATTTATCCTGAAACAACTACACTTTTAAAGTTTTTTTTCTGAGGTGAGAAGATATCCTAGCTCAGAGTTGTTTCTCCATTTATCTACAATACGGTAATTTTTCCAGACTCATCTGTTTGATTGCAGACTGTCTTAGGCACAAATGGGCAGAATTCAGGGGGCTTTGGTGCCCCTCCAAGGACAGGGAAGAGGAGAAGTGACGGCACAAACAGGCCCCATGTCGGGTAAGCCAGGGCAGCAACCTCCACCATTTCTGTCGTTCCCTCTAGACTTGAAGTGCGAGTGGCAGCCAGAAGAAGCGACAGTCTACTCCTTATGCCTGCACTCATGTATCTGCAGGTGGGATTCAAAAAAACCCAAAAGTAATCCTGCCCACAGACCACACTGCTCTCTGACAGAAACAAGTAACCATGGTTTGACCTGGGACACAGCCCTAGATACACGTTACAAAGCTGTCAAATTGCCTCTGCAGTGGTAGGTTTGTTGATAAACTAGCTTGGGGTTTTTGTCCTATTTTACCTGATTTTCCAGTCTTTTTCTCTTTTTGGAATGAACAAGGTTGGTGAATTTTGACACAGCTCTTGTGGTGGATCGACCCTGGCCATCAACCCACCCAGCTGCTCACTCAGTCCCCTCTCCCAAAGGATGGGGAGAAAACAGAAGGAAGGTGAGAAGACTCACGGGTTGATATGGTGAGAGCTTAATAGGGAAATCAAAAGCTGCACCTGCAAGCAAAGCAGAAAGAGGAATTTATTCTCTACTTCCTATTGGCAGGCAGATAGGCAGCCACTTCGTGGGAAGCAGGGCCTCAGAATGCATGATGGTTGTTTGCGCTGACAAAGGTCCTAGCCACAAATATCTTCCCTTCCTCCTTCTTTCCCTGAACTTTTATTGCCTAGCTCAATGTCATATGATGTAGAATATCCCCGTGGTCTGTTTGGGTCGCTTGCCCGCTGTGTCCCCTCCCAGCATCTTCCCCCCCGCTCCCCAGCCTACTCACAGCCTTGACACTGTGCAATCACATTCACCCATAGCCAAAACATTGCTGTGTGACCAACACTGGTTTAGCCACAAATCCAAAGGACAACACCATACGGGCTGCTGCGGAGAATGCTACCTCCATCCCAGTCAGACCCAGTACAGCTCTCCAGTATGAAGCTGTTTATGCTAAAATGCCTTGTTCTCCCCAAGGAAGGACCAAGGGCTTTGATGCCCATGGACACTGAGAGGCACTGCTGTATTCAGGGGGTGCCAAAACAGGTTGTGAGTGATCTGCCCACTAGCAGCTCATGGAGGCACCAGGTCTGGGGTCTCCCCTGTCAGTGTCCCACTCACTCCTTGGGTTCAGCCCTGGTCAGAACCCCCTGAAAAAAAAAGTGGATCTGGCTCTAAGGGAAAGAAATGATGTGGTACCTGGAGAGTTTCCATGCAGAAGAGAGGCTGAAGCCAACACGCAAGATCTAAATGTGATTTGTGCCAGGGCATTAAAACAAAGGTTGAGCCTGGACCCATATGGAAGCAGGAGCCTTGTTGTGAAGCCCCCCATGTCCCTGCATGCCCAGAGCCATGCTCAGGTGGTCCAGCTGCTGCGGTAGCACCTGGGCACTCTTGGGACCACAGAGAAGTGCTTGTGCTAAAGCAATAAAATCCCCGGTGCTGCCTGGCTGACATTTCTCCTTTCTAGCTTGATGTGTTGCTTGGCTTTGTTGTAGAGATTGAAACCAGATTTCCTTTCCCTTCTATGAGCTACATTAATTTGTGTTTCATCAGTACTTGCCTCTTCTCCTCCTTTTTTTCCCCCCTCCTTTAGGCTGGATCCAGCTGCACCATGAATTCAAGGAACCACCTGCAAAATATTTTAATGACTTCAACCTGCTCTTTGAGGTGAATTAATACCAGGGCAGCCTCCACAGCATGGTGAAATAGTCAGGCTTGGCTAAGAAGGCCACCCTCAAAGCCAAAAAACACGTTCTGCAAAGCAGCCACTCCTGACAGGCAACTCTGTTTTCAGGGACCCCGTGCAGTGTCTTGCTCCTCACCTCGAAGGCAGTCATCCCCTATTCAAATAAGAACTAATCCCAGAGATTGGATGTATTCCGAACCATCTTAGAAACAGGAGGGATAATGAGACATGCAAAAAACAGCCACACGAAGGATGGGTTAGATCTTTTAATGGCCTACTATAAACAGTGCAATTACAGCTGAAGGGAGGATCTCCTGGGGCTTGGTCTGCATGAAGCAGCTCAGTGCTGTAGGGAGAGATCAGCTGCTCCCTAATGGTCCTCTTTGCTGGGATCCTTTGGTTTGTCCCACACTTTCAATAGAGCCAAAAAGACTTCTCTAAGCACAGCTCACAGTGTAGCCATGTCCCCACTTTTTGGGCTTTTAAGATCCCAAGATCATTTTAGATTTGCTAAGCAGCTATCAGCCATGTCAAATGATGCTGCAAGAGCTGTTCTGGTCCCCTTTGCCCAGGTGTGTGCCCCACAACCAACCCAGCCAGCCAAGAAGGTCCTTAATCTGCACTCAGCTCTTTTTTCAGGAAAATCTCTGGGATTATGTGAGGTTCAGTGTCACTGTGGTTTTAGATATTAAGCTAGGTAGGTAGTCAGAAGATTGTTCAGGACATTCTGGAAGAGGTTTAGTATTGAATATTGTCCTTGCACTGGGGCACATCCCAATTAATTGCCTGCACATCAATGCATTACTCTGGATTTATCTCAGGGTAAACAAATTAAGGAGTTAATACTTGGACTTCCACTGAAGGAAGCCGCAGGATGGTTTGTCTCTGATAAGGTTTCTGGCCCAAATTTCCATGTCCTGAATGCTACTGGCAAACACTTCAGCTTGAAAATCCATTAACCTGTAACCACCCCATGCCCCTTATTCAATGAATGTGGAGAGCAAACATGTGTGTGAGCAGCTATATACACAGCCTTGAAACCATCACTGACAGCAGTCCATACAGAATTAACTCAAAGCAACTGTCCTGTAAAACGTGTGCAGTGCTAAGCATTAAAGCTCAGCCCCTGAAAATGCTTCAGACTCCCCTGCCTCTTGGTTTTCTGCTGTCCCTAGAGAGCAGCAACCAGCCCTGGCTGTTCCAATCATCTCCTGTAATTGCTACGGTGACACTGAGTGTTTCAGAGACCCAAAGTCATGGATTTTCCCTTGAATTTCCTTCCTTCATCACCTGTCCTCTTTTCTCACGTCCCTTTGCCGTCCTCCTGTGCAGCTTCTCTGGGTGCTGACACGACCGCGCCGCTCCCGCCTGCTCAGCACGGCTCTGCAAAAAACCTCAATTCCCTTTTGGTGACTTTCCTGCTTGCCAGTGACAGCCACACGGGGCTGAGCTTGCTCAATCTCCTTCTGGGAAATGATAAGCTTGAGTGTGAAACCCCCAGCATCAGCACATGGGGGAAAAAGCGACAGAAAAGGAGGCGCCTTTACTGGGAGCTTTATTGCCATCCTCCAAGGCAATAAAGGCACCTGTAAGAAACCACAGCCAGTTTGCAATCGGTTCATTGCTCCCCACCAGTCTCGCCTTTAGGTCAGTATGGGTTGTTTTCCTTTAATTAGGGCCAATAACTGATTGTCGCTTCTCCATTATCGTCTTTAGCGGCGATAACTGATTCTTAATTCATTCTTTGGATTCTCCGGTATTTCTCAGCATGAAGGTGTTTCCCTCAGGATGTATCCTGAGGAAAGGCAACAAGAAACCTGGGAGGGGTTGCGAGCGCAGGGTGAAGCATCTATTGGGGCAGAGCAGGGGCCCTCATCAAAGTGGCGGGAGAGGGATGGGCTGGGAGAGGACGGGCACAGTGGGTGTTGCTGGCTCAGCCTGTCAGTCCTGCAGCACTGGGAATGGGTTGGTGTGTCTGGGGCCACTGGTGGGGCTTGCCCTGTATCACGGGTGATGTGTTAGAACTGGGGTGTTTGGGAACCATTTGGACTTGCCTTCTCACGTGCCAGCAGCAGGTTGGCCCTCCTCATAATTCACATTGGCTACCATGCAAGTGTCATCGTTGCTTCTTTCCCACGCAGAAACAAAAGCAAAGCCCTGATTTGACATTATCCTCTGAGCATCTTGCAAAACTAATGCCAGCAGCAGGACTGACTTAAACTGGGATCAGAAGAGCAAAGCAAATTACTTTTTCTTTGCACGCTTTTCTTCCTTCTACAAAACTGGGTGCAAGTGTCCCAATGCCTGGGGAAGTACACGATGCTCAGATCTTGCCAGTGGCTAACTTGGCTGAGGCGTGAGCAAGCCTTTCTAGGAAAAAAAAAATAAAATCTTTTGTACTGACCATCAGGATTTTGTGCCTCTTTCCGTAATCAACACACAGCTTCTTTTGGGAACTGGCTGGGAATTCCCTTCTTCCTGCTACACTGGCAATGACAAAGTAACTGGAAGTAGCAGGTCTCCAGGATTCTCACATTTATGTAAGAGTTAAAGACCCAAAAGTCTTGGGCAGAGTGGTTGGAACCTTTGACACCATTAATTCAGGAGTACTGCCATTCTCACAGGGTGTTTGAGCAGAGTTTTGAGAGAAACAAAAGGGCTTTGGGTGCCACAGCTGCTCCGTCTCCCCTACATGTTGTCTGGGAAGATAGGTGCCTATGGCAATGGTGGTGGGCATTGGTGGTAGAGCAAAGAGTAACCAAGTACCGTTGAAGGGTTGTTTAATACAGAGATGGTAACCACTGAAATAAAAAAGGTACGGTTCTTAATAAATTCCATCTGTCCTAACCACCAGGGAACCTGGCAGGAGGCACAATTTAAGCAAAACCAAACACCGAAACCACACATGTATATGTACTTTAAAAGAAACAGACTGAGGAGGAAAGGGAGAAATCAGTTAGAAATAGGTTTTCATTATCGGTCAAATATTTAACTCTAGCCCAATAAAATAATAAGATCCACTTGTCATTATTTGCCTTTATTAATGAGTCAGATATCTTTAATTCAATACAGCACTCTCGATGGCATCAAGAAATTCTACATGGAAGCCACTAATTTACATTCACCGTTGTGTTTGAATGAGCTGAGCTGCTGAAAATGTCCGTGCTGCAGGTTGTTTGACCTTCCCAAGGTGTGTACAGATTCAGGGCCTCACTCAGAGGGTGCAGGTGTCAAACGGCAGCTTTTGGGAGATGCTTCGGTTCAGACAGGACCGGGGAAAGCCACGAGAGGATCTGCAGTCTCGGTGCCGATGCAGAGCGTTCCGGTGCCTGCCATTACGATCAATGGGACAGGAGAGCTGGAGGACATTGGCTAGAAGACCCCTGGAGCTGTGGTGATCCCCAAAGCCCTCCTTCGTGCTCCTCAAAGACACCTTCTCAACAACATTGGAGCCACCAAAGTACATGACCGGTGCTTCAGATGCCCCTTCCTTCTCGGTGAGGCTCTAGCAGGAGCCCTGGCTGGCCCCTCACCCATGTTTGGGGGCTGAAATCAGGGGGCCGGGCGCATGCGTGGGGCTCAGCGTGCTTGCCAGCGCTGGGCTGGGTGAGGATTGATAAGGGAGGTCAGCCCAACTGGTGGGACGCTGAGCCAGCAGCCTGGCTCCCGCTCCCTTCCCAACCACATCTGAAAGGGATTTGCAGAGACTTCGGGATGAGGCTTCAAGACTCTCTCCTCACCAAAAATATTAGAAAGGCATTGTGAGAAATTGGAGTTCCTGGTGTTAATAAAGCATGTGACAATTGCAGCGGGTTTCTGGCTACCCTAATTTCTTTAATTAAATTGCACCATCGCAGCTTCACTGCGATGTAAGTGCATAGCTGAGAGAATTGGACCAAGGTGCCACATGTTAATCATTACAGGATTTTGTCTGCACAACATCAGTCTTGCACAGATCTGCTTATGAAATCATACTTTTCCCATTAAACTCAGTTTGAGTTTTCAAAGGGAATTCAGATTGGCTTGGCATGAACCTTTGTATAGGGCTAAGGAAACCTGGGAGAAATGGCCCTGCTTTAGGTAAAGAAAAAAAAAATAACCTGACTTCTCTTTTGTGGTGCATTTAAAAGTCTCTGCTTAAGGACTGTGGATTGATGGAGTGGCCTGAGGTGGGAAGAATATTAAAAAAGATGTCAACATGCCAATAAATGTGTGTGCCAGAAATAAATGCATTATATGTTAGTCCGTCAGAGCAAGCTAAAGGAAGGTGTTCTTTTATATGGAGAAAGACAGTCCAGTTGCTCACATCATTAAGGAAAAAAATGATCAAAGTAGAAATGAGCTCAAGTTTCCGAATGTCATCTCAGCATTCGTTCCCTCAACCAGCTAAGGGCCAGATATTTGATGAATAAGATCCAGGGGTGATCTCAATTCTACATAGAGACTTGGGTG